TATCTTGACACTATGTGGGTCGAATTCAGCCACCGTTTGAAGAAGAATCCTAGCTATGACAGACAGTCCCGTGGTTTCTCCGATCAACACCTGGAGAATGCCGGAGAAGTACCCCCACACACGTGCTACAAACCATCTGCGGTCTTTCCTTCCTCTTCCTTGTCTTAACGTCTCTCCTTACTTACACACACATGTACTTACAAACATCCTTACTTACCATCACACACATCGCGAACCTAGACCTTGTCCCGGCTGGGGCGAAGCCCGTCGGGGGAGATACCTGGTTTAGGAAATCCCCCGCAAGCCGACGTGTCATTCGGCGCCAGCTCTTAATATCAAGCGGGGGAAGAACGCCATATCGAGGCATAAAACATTCAGTACACTTATATTACCAATGACTACAGCACTCAACCTGCCTGAAACGATTAATCAGACACGCACACAGAGGTTCCGCTGGGGAACTCCGCAGGTCGGGTAGGTGACGGCCTCACGCTGTGTGCGCGGTGCGGCTTCCAAAAAATCTTGCAACACGCTCCTCAGCGTTAGAGATGCGTTACGATGTCGGCGTTTTCAAAATATCAATGTTTTCATGAAATCATATATTTATAGTTCCTTCGATATTTATCAATATTTTTTAAATAAACGAAGTTCATCGTATCAAAATCCTATTACAATTTTCAGATATCAATAAATTGAATAATCTTAAGACCAATGTCATCAAGGTTGAAAAATAAAGAAAATCGAGTTTTTGTCAATAAAGAAGTTTACCTAATTTTTGAATTATCGAATCAGATCATACAAATTCGTTAATTTTCCTGATCATTTTTGACTTTGTTTTGTCAGTTAAATCTCAATTGAAATTAATAAAAGATATCTCTTTAAAATGAAATCCCGCCTTGTGAACTTGAATGGTTAATAATCTATTTTTGAAAACATTGAGGGTTAAAACATTGATGATTTTGGGTCGATGCTCTATTAGGATCGATGTTTTAATTTCGAGCAATGATGTTGAGAAACGTCAATGTCGCATCCGTATTCAGCGTGCGTGTGTATTCGAAGGCTTCAGCGGCCGCTGTCATTGGATATTTGGCTGTTCAGGGTGAGCCGCGTCTCAGTCGATCGAGCTGATGTTTTGGCCATCATTGTGGCCTTCTTCAGAGCTATTGTGACGTCATGGATACTCACAGCGACCACAGACACAGAGCTTTCGTATAACAATATATTTATTAACAAAGAAAACAAAACAAATATATACACTTAATAATCTACTTACACCCTAGCTCTGATAGACCTACTATCCCCTGATCGCGGGAGCGATCCAAACCCGATTTAAGATGGTTTTGATTGTGGCATTCGCCACTCCTACTTTTGAAGCGCGCACAAAGCCTAGCTTCCGTGACCGGATGTCACGCTGGGACACAAAGTCCGTTCTGGCGCACCAACGGCTGGTTTGCCTCGATCGCAGGAGCGATCTTATCCGATTGAGAATCGGCGTGAATCGTGGCACTCAACCACTCTTCACCTCGGAGCACGCACACAGCATCGCTCCCCCGTGACCGCAGTCACCCAAGGACCTAAAGTCCGCAGGCTTCGTCAACTAGTGACTCCAGCCTCGCGAGCCTGACTCGCATATGCACCGTCGTGGCGCCAAGTTTTGTGCACACGCACGAGGTTCTCCCGCTGTCTCCAGAACCCACCTACTGGCTCTGTACACTCAGTTATATAGGAGAGGCCCACGTGACCTACTACGTCACGCCACCCCCTCGCTTGTTATAACAGTGAAAAGCTTCTATAAGCCGGAAACTCTCAAAGCCTTGTGTCTCCCGTTTCCGCGTTCTTCCCTTTACGGAAAAACCCTTCTTCCTGTGGCAAGGCTGATCCTCTGCCAGCGTCCCCAAATAGATGCCACGAGGCACGCTGGCTAATACGTTACACTATACTGCTGGGTATGTTAGAAGATACGCTCCCAGTACAGGTTCGTAAGATGGGTTCGTAGGCTTCCGCGGCCAGTGTCATTGGATACCGGGATGTGCCGCGTTTCAGTCGGTCGAACTGACGTATCAGCAATCGTGTTGTGACCTTCTTCACAGCAGTACTGCTGCGTGTGCGTACGGTATGCACCGGCGATGTAACTCCATCTCCTGGATCCCGGCAGGTTCTCCGACGAGACGTACACAGCCGTACATCTACCCCTGAGTCCCCTTGACCGATGACGTCATCGATTGAAACACTGAGCTTCCCAGTAAGCAGAAGGCCTTGTCTTAATAATTCGGTTTCTGTTCCATGTCTCTTCCATCACTTTGCACTTAACGAAAAGTCATGGGGAAGTGGAGTAGATAAGGAGTGGTTGTGCTTTACTCTGCATTTAACTTTCAACTTTGTATCGCATTGTAATTCCATAATTTCCCTCCCCCAAATTCGTCATTGCGTTTGTTATTTACAGGACACGGAAATATTAATTTGCGAATTTGTCTTAAGGAGCATTAAAATATGAAATAGAGATTCAAAATATATTTTAAAAGGATTAATAAGAAATGTTTATAGACTATTCTTCACGATTGTTGCAATATACTTGCAAATTTTTGTATAGAGTGGTAAAAAAACATGTGCAGTTTCTAGCAGCAGATCTAGTACCTGTAAGATAAATTTTAAATTCTACTTGTAAAACTATATGAAAATTGTTTAACACCATAGTGAACTTTTAGTTAAAACTTTAATTAAAAAGATGTTAGATAAACTAAATAAATTAAATATGCTTAGACGATAGGTGGTATACATGCAGTCCACAGCATCATGTATTGATTCATCATTTGTATTTCAATCCATTCAAGTCTGGTGAAAGAAAATCGTAGTATTTTATTAAAACCTGAACCAATTATATAAAAAATAATAATCTTAAACACTTTGGTTTATATGAAATTAATATTTTTCGTCTTTAGCAAGGATTAGATATGAAGAATTCCAGGGCCGGATGTTTCGCTAGAAATAAATCAAATACTGAAACTTGTGGAAGCCTAGAGTAGTAAAATAAGGTATCGACGTACGTTTGGATAAATGTGTGAAGTTTTAACCCCTATTTGGCTTATCACAAGAGACAAGAGCTGGATTGCTCTGATTTTGTAAACAAAATTAATAACTATTTACCCTACATTGACAGGTTTAAGTCTTGAAGATGACGCGTAACATCTGTTGGAAGTATTCGGTCTGTCCTGTGAACCACCCGCATCATTCTCTCGTGTCATTTCCCCTTGAGCAAAAAACTGTCAATCTCGTCCTTTCTAGCGCTCGTTCCGACCACGACCTTGTCCTAGACTAAACGGTAAATTAACGCGTCATTAGCAATATGTTCTAAAAGGTTATAAATGGATAGCAAATAAAGAAATGAAGGCATTAGGAATACGTAGGTGTATGAGAACGTTCTAAGGAAGGAACATCTATGCAGCACAAGATTTCGAATCAATTTCCTGTAACAAACAAGATCAATTTACGTCCATGGAGCAAGACCGTTGTAATTTTTGAGAGAATTATTTTTCACCAAGGGAGAAGATGACCCGGAGGGGGGGGGGGCGGTGGCCCGCGGACTCGTGTGGCAGTGGCACTCTGTGGGTGGCACGTTCCACGAACGTATTCGAATTTTTTCCGTAGCGCGGCCGTAGTCCCCACGCATATTTACCGCACAGAACGTCACATTCAGGAATAAATCGCATATATTCTAGAGATCCCCACTCTCATGTTCCACTCGGATGGCAAGGAATACAAAAAAATTGCTTTAGGACCAGGTGTATATGAATGAGACGTTAGGAACAAACAGGCCATCAGCAACAGATTTCACACCGATTGTCGTCCTCGGCCGAGAGCAGTGTGTGTCCGCGAAGCGCGACGGTGCTGATTTTTGAAATGCACCTGTCGCCGTCGGAGGGCGGTCCGCGTGGGCGAAGACGTCCCGGGGGGTGGG